GGGAAGGAGGAATAGAGAAGGGGAAAGGGGGGAGGAAGGAAGAGAAGGACAGAGGGATAGAAGAAAAGAGAGGAGAGGGGAAAGGAGGGGGACTGAGAAGAGGGAAGGAAAGACAGACAGAAAATATGAATATAAAAGGAGTTTCTATAAACAAAAGTATCAAAAGAAATTAAATTCTCAGACCCTACAGTTGCACTAAATAATAAACACAGTTGGGTTTCTAGCCATGAACATAAACCTTATGAACGTAATTCTAAAAATCTATGTATCTTAGTTCCTCTTATCCAATATATCACGCCCACCTTTCAACAAAAATTACAAGACATGCTAAAAGACAAACAAGTGAAGAGACAAAGCAAACAAGAGAATCATATTCATAATGGCACACATTTTGGAAATATCTGACGAAGAACTTCAAATAACTGTAATTAATGTGCTAAAAGTCCTAATAGAAAAGTGCTTAATATGCAAGAATGGATGAATAATGTAAGCAAGGATAATGAAATTTTTAAAAAGGGGATCAAAAGGAAAGATTTAAAATGAAAAGCCCGAGGCACAGATGAAGAATGCATTTGATGGGCTCATTAGACTGAATATAGATAAGGAAAAATTCAGTGAGCTTGAAGATATGTCAACAGAAACTTCCCAAACTGAAAATGTAACCAGGGAAAAAAAAAAAAAAAGAAACACTGGAAGAGTATCTAATAACTGTGAGATGTTAACTTAACAACATATGCACCTATGCATAATGGGAACACCTGAAAAGTGAAGATAAAGAATAAACATTTCATCAATAATGTATTAGAATTCTCCAAAATTGATGACAGGCACAAAACCATAGATTTAGGGAGCTAAGAAAACACTCATCAAAATAAAGAGTCTAGTGTGGCAGTACACACCTACCCTTCCAGCGACTGAGGAGGCTGAGGCAAGGAACTGAAGACCAACCTGAACAACGTGGCTAGAGCCAATCTCAAAAAACAAAAATTAACTAAATATAGAAAAATCTATGTCTCAACAACTCATATGCAAACTGTAGGAAACCAAAGACAAAAAGAAAACCTTGAAAGAAGCCAGAGAAATTCCCACCTTACCTATCAAGGAACAACAATAAAAAGTACATTGAAAATCTCTTCACAAACAATGCAAAAAAGAAGTAAAAAAAGAGTGGAGTGAAATATTTAATGTGCTAAGAAAAAATAAGCGCCCACCTAGAATTCTCCATTTAGCAAAATTACCCTTCAAAATTGAAGGAAAGGATCAGATTATATCTAAATGTAAAACACAAAACTATAAAACTTCTACAGAAAATTCAGGCAACCTTGAGTTGGGCAGTAAATTTAAGGATTTAACAACAAAAGCAAAAAAAAAAAAACAAAAACAAAAGAACTTCTGCTCTGTGCAAAAAACTGTTAAGAGAATGGAAAGACAAGCCACAGACTGCAAAACAAAATATCTGCAAAACACATCTGATACAGGAACTCTGTCCGCACTATACAAAGAACCTTGAAACTCAACAAGAGAACAAAGAGAAGAAGAAGAGAACAGCGGAAGAGAACAAGAGAACAAAAGAATGAAAGTACTGAAGAGATACCTCACCACAGGAGATATACAATGACGTATTAGTATATGAAGAGATGATCAACATAATGACCGCAAACTAAAACAATATACTGCTATACATGTATTATGACTAAAAGTCAAACACTGACAATACCAAATGCTGAGAATGTGGGAAATCAGGAACTCTCATATATTGCTGGTGGAAATGCAAAATAGTACAGTGACGTTTCAAACTCTTCAGTAGTTTCTTACACAGCAGAATGTAATCACGTATGACCCATCAATCCTACTCCTAAGTTTTCACCCAAATGAATTGACAACTTATGTTTCCCAAACCTGAACAAGAATGTTTATTCACAACTGTCCAAAACTAGAAGCGACCACAATGCCTTTCAAAAGATGAATAAATAACCAAACTGTGGTATATCCAAGTTACCTATATAACAGAATGTTGCTCAGCACTAAGAATAACTGAAGTATATGCAGTAAATCCATATAATATAGTATTACCCAGCACTAAAAGAAATAAGCTATAAAGCCACAAAAGGGATAGAGGATACCCATATGCTAAGGTAGTCTGAAAGGCTACACACTGATTTCAACTATTTAAAATTCTGGAAAAAGTAAAACTATAGGACAATTTAAAAGATCTGTGGTTCCCAGGAGTTGAGATGGAGGTAGAGGTGAATAGGTGAGCATAGATACATGATACTATGAACTGGCAAGACACTACAGAATGTATAACATGAAGAAGGAATGTTACATGAAAACTTAGATCCTGTTTTTATTTTCATTTGTTATACATTGTATAACATGATTTTATTTTATAAAATAAAAACAGGATATAACATGAACAGGAGTATTACATTCCTAATATGGCTAGGCAGCAAAGGATATTAAGGTTGCAAATGGAATGAGGTTGCTTCATCAGCTGACCCTAAAATATGAGAGCTGTCCTAGATTATCCACTGGGTCCAAAGTAATCACAGGTTCTAAGTAGAGAGAGAAATAAATGAGAAGAAAGGACGTCAAGAGCCACAGAATCAACAGAAACCAGGATCTCGTGTGGGGAGTACCCCAATGGGCAGAAAAGGCAGACACTTTGGATGTGCCACAGACTGTTTACCTGTAATGACAAGACCAGCAATTAAGCAGGGACACTGGCTGGCAGTAGCCTGTGGTTGATGGTTCAGTGGTCTGCAGCTCTCCAAGGAACAAGCTCTAGTCAAACTTGAGTCCACTCACAGGCAGTCCCTGAGCCAATCCTGCCTCACAGTGGCAAACAGTGGGAAGTGCTAAAGCTGCTCCAGTATGCAGAGATTCTTAGACAGCAGGACCCAAGTTGCAGGGAGGGCTCCTTGGCTCCTCACTGTTCCTTGACCCCTTCCATCTGGGCTCCCAAGTCCTTCAGTGAGAACTCCATACTTTACAAACCAGATGCCAAACAAATGAAAATAAAAACAGGATTTAAATTTGCCCAACTGTTACACGTTAGAATGTATACAATAGGGATATCAGACTATTGATTCCTTCCTGGAGACAGCTTGCTTAACACATCTGAAAGATTTACCAACACATTTTCTAACACAGCTTTGTATTGTGCCACATAATAATGCAGTTTCAAACGTGACAAAATACAGGAGAAATGGGAAAAAATGTATTTTAAAAGACAAAAACATTTCACTACCCGCCTTCCTCTGACACCTAAATAATTTTGCTATCACTTCCAAAAATCAGCCCCCAAAATGGTTCTTGAAGATAATACATATCTGAAAGAACTGCAATAAAACACGAAAAGTATGGTCCATCTATAATAGAAAGTTGACAACTGTTTAAACAAATTAAACAACATTGCCTTTCTTTTGTAGTCTTACATAATCATCAAAGTGGGTGTTTTTTTATTTCCCAACCCACCATTTGTCAAAGAAATTATGGAAACTATGAAGCTGTAGGATAAACACTTTAAATAAGAATTCATACTCCAAGGAATTAAGAATCTTTCAACCTTTATTTCTAGGATACATTCATCTGGAACCTTTTTGTTTCTTTACAATTTTCCCCCTAAGAGAAATGAATACAATAAAAATATAATCCAACTACCAGCAATGTTTGTAACCAGAAAAGAATCTAAAATCTCTGGTGTGATAATATAGGACCTTTTTTAAAAATATAAACTTCATACCAGAAATAAAGCCTGAATATTCTCTTTCTTTAAAAATATAATTTTCCTTCTTTTCTCTTCCATGTAAATCTTATAATCAACCATTTAGTTCTAAAGTCTGTATTTAAACCAGCAATTTGTAAGACTATAGCAGGTTTTTTCTTCCTGCTTTGTATCCTGTTTTGTATTGTGAATCAACTAATAATTTCAGAAGTTTTTAAAAAATGAAGTAACACTGGGTTGTAGCAAGATTCTTCAAGATAATACTAATCATAAGGGGAAAAAATCCCCATTAGCAAACTGAAACCTACTTAAATTATATTTTATCCTGTTTATGAAATTAGAAAATGTATACAAAACACTTTTGCAAAGTGTAAAGTTCTAATGGAAAACATTTTAAAATCTGCTTTGACTAGAAAGGCTGCTGACTGGGATAGAGCAGTGGGATCACTGAAGGCTCTGTGAAATCCACCTGGTTTTTTTCCTGTAAGCACTTAGATGGGGCAAGTCATTATAAACTACAAAGAAGTTGGGGTATGGGTACAAAGATATCTCACAAAGATTTAATTGCAGTGACATGACTGGATTTCTTAAGATCAAGGAGTAGAGGAATAGTTCTCTTTAGCTCAATGCTTTGTACCAGACTGAAAAGTCAGGTCATCTGTTGTTAACTAGGAACAAGAAATAAAAGACAGTTTTTCTCCCACTTCTGACTAGTTCTTCTACATAGAGCTCCATTATTAATCCATTTTAAAACAGTACTGCAAAATCCAACTTATATGGGATGGTTCCTTTAGTTTAGTTAGATAACAAAAAAGCCTACATGGGAACTACATATCTCAACCACAGAACAGAATCCTCCTATCTCCAAATAAACAGCACTATCCATAACATCTTGGGGTATTTTGTTGAACACAGGAAGCTAAGCAAAGGATTAAGAAGTCTGGTAACAAACACAATCCCAAAGAGGATTTCCTTCTTGTTTGCTAGAATGTAAAATACATGTAAGAAAAGGCTTCTTTGCATATCACCTTAAGGAAACCAGAAAAACCTGTGAAGACAAATCCAGCAATGAAGCGCTGAAGATTTGGTCACGTGTACCTGAACGGGGATGACCAAAAGAAAGTATCTTTAACAATCTAAAGGATGAGTAAATGGATGAGAAAATGGGTCTGAGTCACTGCATAAAAAAGGATTTGCTAACTGGGCAAGTCCTGAAGGCTCCTTTTCTGGGAGTTCTAAACCACTTTCCCTCACCTCTTTGAGCAGATGCAGCTTAGCTAACTGGCCTTATACTTCTCTTTTGGATATCTGATGCATTTACCCTTTCCCTTATTGCCTTTTTTCCCCAAGAGAATATTCAGGCCAATTTTGCTTTTTGCCTTGTTTCTGCATATATTAAGAATTATAAATTAGCAATTTGGGAGATCCCTAACTCTTACTGGGTGTCTTATGTTAAGTATAAGATACCCCAAATGGTGAGAATGTAGAACTTCAATGCCATTTACAAAGGAGTCAAACCCATCTCACACTTTGATGAATCCAAAGTATTAAAACTTAGCAATGTATGTAAAAAACTGTTTTTGCCAGGGCTTAACTACTGGACTGCAAACCAATTTCAATATTCCATGTCATCAAAGGTCACTTGTATTGAATTAACATGTCTGTGTTTTCTACATACAACAAAATAAGATTTTTTAAATATACATATATTTTAAACCAATTTACTCCCTTTTACAATCATACTTTTAGTCTAACATTTTAAATATGAATCTAAATTATCAATGAAAACAACAGTGGACCAAATGACAGTATAATTTAAATAAAACAATAATGCAAGAAAAGTCAGCATTAAAACTCAGAAAATAACATAGATTCACTGGAGATCAACTCATATGCCTAATGTGATCAAAAATGAACCTCACATAAAACAGTCCTCCCTGTGACACTGGACAACTCACACCTTTCTCATCTCATCATCTGCATGCTGAATCTTTATTGTTTTTACTGAGGTTCATACAGTGACTAAATATCCTAACAGGAGAAAGTAACAGCAAATAATACATAGCCTATTCCAGAATTTGTATGTGGTCCCAATTGTTTTGTGTGATCCCTACATTATAAAATAATCCAATCTTTTAGGAGCGAAGGGGGGCAGGGGCTTAGATCTATTCATATACATTGTGCATTAAACATTACTAGGTTAAGAAAGTGGAAAAAGTGGAAGGGTACAGTAAATTTTCTCCGAACAATTCTATTACATTAGATAGTATTATCAATGACATTTATTTATTTAACCAGGTTATGAAAGATTAAAGAATCATTACCAGAATTTGCATTGATTTCTAGAAGCTAACAATAATACATTAAATATATATATTTGTACATTTACTTGAAGAATCTTTGGTAACAACTGTGTGTTTCTTCCACATTGTTGGACTTTTTTAAAATAAATGTCAAAATTAATTTATTAATCAGCATATGAAAGATAAATTATGATACTATTCTTTTGGTTTTCCTATAAAATGTTCTTGAACCTGACTATTAACTTGCACTATTTGTGCACTTAAACACAGTTTCTGCTTAACGTGTGAACATACAAAATGAGACTAATACCAGAAAGGAATTAGACAATAATGAGAATCAATGACAAAACATAACAATGACAACTGTTCTTAAGTAATTTATTTTTAAATTATAAGATTTACAATGTCTTGATTATGTAAAATATCATAATGGAAATTAAACCAAATCAATAAACCAAAAGATAAAGAAAATTTAGTTTCTTTGAACATCAGTACTTAAACCATTTTTATAAGGGTCTGATGTCCCAACCACAACTTATGTATAAAATAAGCTACTTTCAAACATTTCACTTGCAGGTTTAATTTCTCATTTTCAACTTTTATGAACTGTAATGTAATTTATTTCAAATCCTATTATACCTAGTGTTTATACTGCAACAGCAGCAAATTCCACGTGTTCAATCAAATGTGGAACTGGGGCATAGCTTTTAGCTTTTAGCCGCAGACAGAAATTATACACTGCATTCAGTAAAGTACACTACATTAACCAGGGCGCAGAGTTTAGTACACTTATTGCAGAGTTGGTACTTCTTTCCCTCTGAACTGAACCCGCCGAGCTTCTGAGTAGACATATTACTGCTGTGGATAGTATGATTGCTGTGGGGGCTGAGGGAAGGGGTATGAAGGCTGCTGGGGTCCTGGGTATGGAGCTTGCCCAGGGCTCTGGTGATACACTGGTGGGTATGGCATATTATACTGGCCGTAGGCATAAGGATTATAGCCCATGGGCATGGGCATTTGACAATACCTAATGGGGAGAAGAAAACAAAACAAAATAAAAAAAAATGGGATTGGTAAATCAAATACGAGATGAAATATATAATAATTATTCTAAAGCAAATTTTAAGTCATTTTTCTCTATTTTTCAGTCTATTAAAAGAACACCAGAAAGAAAAAGTTTCAAAGTATTTGTTAGATAAAAGCATTTCCACCTTATAATTAATTAAAATGAAAGAATATGTTTAATATTAGCTAGAAAATAACACTGAAGGGAATATGATTAAATATTCAACTATTAAACAGAGACCTTTCATTTTAATGTGGCCAAATTAATAACCTAAATACATTCCTGTTCCCCAAAACACAGTATTCACCATAACATATATATTTACTGCTTATAAAGTTCTAATATTTGGAAGATAAACTTATTAAATAAAATTTAGAGCACATTTTATAAAAAAGTAGTCAATTGCCTGGATTTTTAATAAGAAACTACCACAAGGAAGGTTTGCTATGGGTGTAGCTCAGGATAGAGCATGTGCCTAGCATTTGACAGGCACTGGCAACACTAAGGGGAAAAAATAATGTTGCCACAGAGAAGGTTAACCCTCAAGTAGGCATACTCCATAGCTAAGCAAATTTCTATTCAATCATTTGTTAAATGTCAAGGCTTCAAAGTACAGATATATAAACAAGGCCTTATCAGTCTTGCTACATTAAATTCAGAAAAGACACCTATCTATTTATCCCCTAATAAAGGTGGCCCCAAAGAAACATACTGAATTCTACACAGAAGAGATATGTTTAATATAAATGCAAGAAGAAAAAAATACAAATATAAATTTAAATACTTTAGCACAGGCAAAGACTTGCTGAATAGAACTCCAACAGCACAGGAAATAATACCAAGAATTAACAAATGGAACTACAATAAATTTTAAAAGCTGCACAGCAAAGGAAATGTGAAGAAACAGCCTACAGAATGGGAGAAAATCTTTGCTAGCTACTCTTCTGATAGAGGATTAATCTCCCAATTACATAAAGAACTCAAAAAATATTAACCTCCCCAAAGCACACAATCAAATCCAAAAGGGGGGCAGTAAATGAACTGAATACACACTTCTCAAAGAAACTACAAATAATAAGTACATGAAAAAATGTACAACATCTTTAGCCATTAAGGAAACACAAATTAAAACTAACTTGAGATTTCCTCTAATCCTAGTCAGAATAGCTATTAGCAATAATACAAAAAAACAATGAATGGATGTAGGAGAGTAAAGGGAGGAGGAACCCTCTTATACCGTTGGTTGGGAATGTAATTTTTTTACAGAAATCAGTAAGGAGATTCTTCAAAAATTAAAAATAGATATTCCATTTGATCTATCTATCCCTCTCCTGGGTAAAATCCTGAAAGAATTAAAGACAGCATACTATACTGATACCTGCATACTCTTATTTACAGCAGTGCAATTCACAATACCTAAGTTATGGAAACAGCCTAGGTACCTGTAAACAGATGAATGGATAAAGAAAATGTACAAAATGAAACATTCAGCCACAAATAAGAATGAAACGTCATTTGCTGGAAAATGGATACAACTGGAGATCACCATGTTAAGTAAAATAAGCTAAACTTAGAGAAAAATACTTCATGGTAAGTAAATAAATACAGGAGAAATCACAGGAAACTAGAAGGTAGACTTCTGGAGAAGGGGGAGCTCAGAGAAGGAGTAAAGAAAGAGGTAATGGGGTTGAAAATCAAGACACATTAAATGAATGTACCAATTTCCCAAAAGAAACCTCATAATTTTGTATTAGTAGGATGCTCTAATAATAACAAAACCAAAATTTAAATAGCCTAGGAAAGCATTATTCAGTAACTCAAATAAAGGTCTATAACATTAATTTCTACATAAAATGACAATGACATGTGAATATTCATGACACGTCCACTTAAAGAAGGGGTGCTCCTGATCTTAAAATGTTAACCAGAGCTAGAAACAAAATGAGCCTATTGTTAGGATATACAATGTCGCAATCTTACCCGGGATATCCTGGATAGGTGGGGTATGGTGGTCCCTGGGCCTGTGGAAGGGGAGCTGAGCCAGGGGTTTGTGATGGAGCTGGTGTTGGAGCTGGTGTTGCACTCCCAGTCCCCACTGGAGCTGGGGCAGTAGCAGAAGCAGCTCGGTTTGCTGGAAGCACAGGAGGTGGCGGGCGGGCTGGGGGTTGGGGCTTAGAAGGCTGTAACAAAAGGTAAGCATTGACAAAATGTTCCATGGTTCTCTCAAGCTGCTATTCATTAAAATGAATAAATGAGGATATGAGAAATTCCAGTATCCAACTAGAAATTTAATTACTCTAGAAATGTATCAGAGTAGAAGAATAATTCTCCAATTTGTAAAAATTGGATTAAACCCAGTCTTTGCACAGAGCTACATCCCAGCCATTTTTTGAGATACTGTCTCTCTAATTTACCTAGGCTCTCTAATTTCCTAATAATAATTTATTGTTCCCACCAACGGTTAAATTTTAAAGTAAAAAGAAAGACAATTTTTGGCTATAATTTCTTTCTAGCCCTCAAACTCTCTACAAAAATTTTCAAAGACCTGAAAACTTTTTTTAAAAGTATAATAAAATAATCACATATCCACCAATGAAACTTAGTAATTAACCCTTTACCATTACTGCTTTATCATATATCCACATACTATAAATTTAGAGGCCTTTTGAAAGTGTGTTGAAACTTCAATACCTAGTCCTACAGACCTCAGCACTCAAATCCTAATAAAAACATTCTCCTATATAATCACAATAGTATTTTTACCTCAGAATATTAATGATTATTCCTCAATATTATCAAATATCCACTGTGGAGTCATATTTCCATGTTTACCACCAGAAAGTTATAAAAGCTGCTTTTATGAACCAAAATCAAAGTCTATACACTGTAGTTGATTCTAATAAACTCTTTTAGTTCTTTTAATCTAGAATATGCCTTCCTCTCCTTTTTTTCTATTTTAGAAAAGACCAATGTAAGTATCCAATATAATGTCCCATTTTTTTAGATATGTCCAAATGCTTCTTTGTGGCACTGTTTAACTTATTTAAATATCACTCTACTTGTTGTAAACAGAAAATTATCCTAAAGGTTTGATTAGACAAGGTATAAACATTTTTTAGCCAAGAGTTTATGAGTGATGCTACGTTCTACATACCGCAAACCATCAGATTAACCACCTGATGCAGGTGCTAATCCCTCCAATGGAGTCTGTTCTATCCTTTAGAAGAGGCAAGCTATCAGTGACGAATGTAAAACTTCCATTTTAAAAGTGTAATTGTCTTACTAACCGGCATGGTTCTTGGAGCTGGAGTTGGAGGAGCTGGTGCATGTCCTCCTGCGGGAGAGGACTGATACGCAGGTGTAGGAATTGAGGGAGCACTAGGTTCTCTGGCAATGCTTTGCTGCAAGTCCCTTTATAAACAGAGTTTCAGAATTTACAAAATGGAAAACATAAAACAATACATATAAAATGTTTTATTCTTATTTTTCTTTTCTTTATACACAAAAAAGAAAATGTCCCCCTAACAATATGGTATTTTAGAATACATGACTGTATTTTTTTACTGTATTGTATTATTTTTGACTAGAACATAAATCCTCCTTCTTCCTACTTTTTAATAAAATGAAGTTGTATCTTACTCTATTTCTGTTAAGTAGTAAGAAAGTAAACTTTTTTAGAGAACATGGTCATAGCTTGAGGAAGAAACATGTTAAACTAGGCAAGCAGTCCTAAAAGACTGCACAATGTAATGAGACCTAGTCAGGAAATTAAAAAAACTATGAACATAACCTATCCAGAAATTATCAGAAAACTTCATAGTCATGTGGAAATATTTTAATCAGTGTCTGCTATCAATATTTATAGAAAACAAACACAGGTGACTATGCAACTATTTTGTAAACTCTCAGGAAAACAACATCTGAAGATAGTCAGAGAAATGTGACACCAGTTACAGTACTTAATTTTTTGGTAGTATTGGGCGTTAAACCCAGAGTCTGCACTGAGCTACATCCCAGCCTTTTTCTGAGATATGGCATCTCTAAATTGCCGAGGCTGGGCTCAAATTTGTGATTCTCAGCCTCCCAGAGTGCTTGAATTATAGGTGTGTACCACCTTTCCTGGTTAAAAAAATGTGACCCTGAGGTATTTTATGTTTAAAGATAACTAATAATGTATTACTAAGGTTAAACTCACATAACATATTCTGTTGAAAAGACCATTAAAACTTAACATTAAGTGTTAGGTGAAAATTTTAAAGTCTTCTCTGACAGTAAATTGGAATTATCTCAAAAATCTCATTAAATAATATATCTAAGGCAAAATGCATTCTAGTAATACAGGATGTTGATCAACTTCTCGTAACATTAACATAAAGAGAAAGTAAATATATGTCCCAAAAGGTCTGCAACAGTACTTGTTGCGCTGATTTAACAATTAACAGTCAATCCTTAAAACAACCACTTGCACTGTCAAAAGGGCCACAGTCACCCTAGATACGAAGAAAATATACATCATTTTTTAAAAATTGGCACGTTGCTATTGTTCTTAATTCTGTAAAGTAAAAAATAAAATAAAAATATACATATATATAATATGTAACTAACTGCTTATAAGATAAAGTAGAAGTTTTTACTCAACATTAGAACTCCAAAAGGTCAGATTTTGAAATATGTAAGAAAAACACATTTTTTTTTTTTTTTGGTTTTTCTCCGTTATCGGGAACCGAACTCACGACCTTGCGCTTGCCAGGCAGGCGCTTTTGCCGCTGAGCTAAATCCCCAGCCCCTGAAAAACACATATATTATAAAGCCTTATTAACACAAGATCTTTTCCTCTAACAAACTCAGGGGGTAGCTGTAGTAAATACAAAATTTATAGGACAAATGAAAATTTCCTAGCCACTCACAAATGATAAAAATCAAAGCTATTAAAGCAAAACAATAAATGCCATCAATATTTCTATGCCCAAAAACCACGACTACTGACATAAGTATTTAAATCACTTGTGAAAACAAAGCTCACAGTAAAACAGTCTTTTTATATGACGTTTGTGATGAAAGGTTTAATAAGAAATTAAACATCAAGTCTTCTGATAGGTATATCAAAAGGACAGACATATCAGTATTCAGGGAAATGAAAATTAAAACCACAGTGTATTACCTGCATACCCACCAGAATAATAGCAAAAATGTAATAAAAATTCTAATCTATTGCTAGCAGGTATATAATATAACCACTTTATAAAACTAGCATTCAACTAAAACTGAAAATACCTTATGACCCAATAATTCTACTCCTAAGCATGCTGACTGAAATATCTGAAATGTGGCTAATCTGAATTGAAGATGTGCTGTAAGTGTAAAATACACACTAGATTTTGCGTAGTGTGGAGGGAAAAATTAAACGTTTTTCGTAATTTTTCACTAGTTATAGATTAAATGATAGTATTTTGGATATACTTAAATTAGTGAAATTAATTTCACCTGTTTAACTTTTTTTTTGCTGTGTCTACTAGGAAATTTTACACTTTCAATTGCACTGTCACTGCCTAGTATATATCACCATGCAGATACATTTGTTTATTTAACCAGCTCTGGACATTTACTTCTATTTTTCTTCTGCTACCAGTGATCTTGGACAACTACATTTAACATTTATGCCAGCACTACTTATAATAACCCAAAACTATAAACTAATTACAACAGAGTAACTTACCATATATTCTCATAATAAATTACATTCACAAATGAGAATAAACAATCTATAAACACACAATTTAGAAGGATGAATCAAATGTAATGTTGAGTGAAATTCAATCTCCACACGTATACAATATATAGTTCTATTTACATATCATGCAAAAAAAAAAAAGTAAGTAATCTGTGCTCTCCTAAGTTGGGATGCTGGTTGGTTCTCCTGGGAGACAGGATAATAACTGGGGAGATAGATGTATGAGTAGTATTTCTGAGGTGCTATGAATTGCCTGTGTACTGATCTAAGTGCCAATTGCCTAGGTGTAGTCAGTTTGCGAAAGGTCAACGTGATGTATACTTACATATCCTTTTGTAATATACATCATATTCAATAAAAATGTTCTAAGAATTTAGGTTGTATTAACAATGATTTTAACAAAATAAACTCTCAGATTTTAAAAGCTAATACTAGTATGTGGGCTTACTTTTGTTTATCACTCATTCACTTTTTAGTCAGTGAGCTGAAAATACTGACAAGCTTGTCTGTCTCAGAATTGATTTAGTCTAAATTCAGAAATACATGTGTGAATATTAAACCTAATTTTCAAACTAGTTTGAAATGAGATATTTGAAAATAAGAATATTAAAACATTTCTTCAAAAGAACACAGAGCTTCCTTGTGCATAAACAATTTGAATATTTTTGTATTCAATTTTACACAAAAAACACACTCGATACCCCATTCTTTATCTTTTCTTACTCTGCTTACCTTGGAGATCTTTCTATATCAGCAAAATGAAAATGTCCCCTTTCATAAAACAGAGTATATTACATAGTTTTTCATTATACAGCAATGGCTTTATTTCACTTGGACATGTGGCTTCTTCTATTTCAATAAGCAATGAAGGAATAAGTTCATAAATATGTTATTTCTAGCCCATGCTAATAGATCCTTAGAACACATTCCAAAAAACAGAATACCTGCATTAAAAGATGTTTGAATTTGTAATCTTAAACTTTATAGCTAAATTGTGCTATGTAAGGATTGTACCATTCTGTATCTTATGGCAATGTGTAAGATCTATTTCCATAACATGTGCCAACAAAGTACATCATCAAACTTCCAGACTTTTACCATTCTGAAAAATGTTATTTCAGAGTAATTTGTATTTGATAGGGAATGAGAGTTCTTAAAATATGTTTAACAATACACAATATATTAACCATTGTTAATTTCCTATTGTTTTGAAATTCTGTATCATTGTTTTCATTGGGTTTTTTGCTTTAAAATAAAATATATGTATATTAAATATATATATACACACACACTATATATATATATATATATATATTTTTTTTTTTTTTTTAAAGAGATACTGTCTACAAAATTTATCTCACATCCTTTTCTTTCACAGTTTTCCACTAGATTTGCTTTGTGGTGCAAAATGAACCCAGGGCCTTTGCCCTGGACTATGTCCCCAGCCTTTAGTTTTTTTTATTTTGAGACAGGGCCTCACTAAGTCACCAAGTTACCCACACTGCACTCGAACTTGCAATTCTCCTGCCTCAGCCTCCCACAGTGCTAAGATTACAGGGATGTACCACCACACCCAGCCTTCCCAATAATTTCTAAGTATTCTTTTTTAAAAAAGTAAATTAGCCTTTTGCCACAGTAAGTTTAAATATTGTTTCCCTGGTTTATTGTATCTTGTCTCTGGTTATCATGTGGCACGGCAGTTGTTTTAACTCATGGTGAAATATCTGCTCAGAATTTTTGTATGTTATCAGATAATATTATTTGAGTAAATATTCTTCATCTATTAGGTTTTGTTAAATTTTGTTAATTTTTTTCACTTTTACGGAGTACCTTTGTATCAATACTGCATCAACTCTAGTGATTACTCAGCATGAAGTAAATTCTACATTACTGGCCCCACTTTCTCAGTAGGCTCCTTCAGAAAGGAATTTTACTGACATTTTGAGCTGCTCACCCTGTCTTTTCCACGTTGTACACTTTTTATTTTATATAAGATACCTACTTGCCACTTCAAAGCAAACTGCTTCTACTTGTTGGCACTTCCTGAATTCTGCCACCCAGAACTGTTTTCTCCTATCATCTCATTACATCTAGAGTTTCTGCTCCTTTTCATCCTTGTATTCCTGATCCTGCAGCTATATGTTACTTTGTAAAATACTCCAGTGAAAAGGAAAACTGGTATCTCATACTACCAAATTTACCCTCAAAAGTCTCTAAGTACAATTTGATACACAAAACAAACTTACTTTAAGAGTTCATCTCTTTCTGTCTTCCGTGCAAACACTATATCACTGCATTTGTTCTGGAACCTGACCAAGATTTCAGTCAGCTCATTATAAAACTATAAGCAAAACACAAATGCAAGTAACAAGTAAGAACAGTTTTTTAACATTGGGAGCAATATCATCTAAAGTCAATTTGGCAATGATGGTTAAAGCTGAAAAACAGAAATCTTCTTCATGAAACACATTCACACCACACATTAAATCCAACTACTTAATATTAAACATCGCCTAAGCTTTGCAAATATATGTACATATTTTTACAGAACACTATCACCAAAAAAGTGACAGTTAAATCTCATGATCATAAGCATGTTTCTAATTCCTACAGTAAAATTAACTTACTACTAAATAATGCCACTTAGAGTTAAGGCAAAGAATTATATTTGTACATTTACTACAGAAATAATGGCATTTCAGATAGGTAAAAGAATTTACGAAGCATTTCTGGAGTTTTCTTAGCTCATCTATTAGAATAGAGCATTTAATCCAAACTGAAATGGCATTTTACTATCCACTATCCTCTATTTGGAAGGCTCTGTAGTTTTTCTATCCTCTCTTCAGAAGGTTTTACACTATACCTACTATATGACATCACTTTAGTCAGTGATCAGTATGGAGTTAAGTGCCAAAAGACACCATGCATGTGAAAAGCTTAAAATTCACTTGCTCCCTCAAAAGCCAATAGTAAAACAAAAATAAACATTTTTCTAAACATTTTAATGGGCAAGGCAAGAAAAGTACTTAAAATGTATTTACTAGCACTCTGATACTCAAGCAGATCACAGCTATCTTCACCAAACTAGCAACACAGAATAAAAGCCACATCCTTCCACTTCCTACCACAGATCAGCCTTTACTACCCTCTTTGGTGTCAATGGCTTCTGACATCTCTGCATTAATATCCACTACCAGGAATACTTATATCCCGTTTCTGCCAGCTGAAATATATAATTCATTCCTCAAAGTTCCAAGGAAATACTGCTGTATTTATTTGGCTTACTCCTTCTACAACAAATCACACAGAAGCAAAAGGCTTTACAGCTAACAAATTCAAAGCAAAGAATTTGCTCTAACTGGAAATACCAATTAACATCCCAATCTATACTTTCATATTTACTTTTGTTTGATCTTCTTTGTTTGTATGTCATACCTTTGTGCCCTCCTTCAAATTAGCTACAAGTTCAACAAAGTTGTCATATGCAGTAGCTAAATTCTTCAAAACTTCTTCTCTTAAATTAGCTTCATTGTTAGACTGTTTCATTTTTGAAAATTCCTGGTGTGACACCTTGTTAAAAGATAAGCATATGTAATTTATATTCACTTATAAAATTAATATACCCTGCAACATTTTTATTGATAACTTTTCTAACTGAAAATTATGATTGATATATATGCAAAATTACTAGAAAGACCTAATATCTCTTGAAGTTGTACAATGCTTTATATCTTATATAAAAATACCACAAATCCAATGGGTGTCAAAACAACCAATAATGACTAGTTTTCCGTTTATATAACATGATGAAAATAACATGATGAAACAACATGATGAAAACTCTTATTCTTTATCATAAGTACAAATAACATGATGAAAACTCATTCTTTAGCATATTACATATAAATATAATATTCAAAAGTAGAAAACACAAAGTTGGATTTTACACATTAACTACTAAATGGGCAAATTGTCACATCTTGTTAGTAAACACTAATTTGTAATACAAATACTAATGTCAAACACCTAAACATATTCAGTTTTGCATAACTTGATGAAAGTCCAGTAAGTATTAAGCCATATAATTAATTACAAGAATCAAGAATTCCAACTAATTCTGACCAGTCTCTAACTACTGCCAAAAAATAAATCTTTTAAAAATTTGTAAAAGCCCAAAGTATCTGAAGCATTAAGTACTTCCAAAGAGCATGCAACATTTTAGTCACAGAAGAGTGGCTTTGTTCCATACATTTTTTTTTTTTACTTTAAAGAGAAAAAAAAAAAACAGTAACAACAACAAAGACAAAAACAAAACAACATGAAAACAATAAAAACAACATACAATTTCAAAACAAGATGATAGGAAATTAACAATGGTTGTATTATACATTGTTATCTTCAACAAAGTTGATCAGATTACCAGATGTAAGAATGCAAGATTGATGAAACCATTAAAGACAATAAAGAATAATTTTTTAAAACATAGAAACAATACAGAGCTTCACTAAACAAGACAGTAGGAATTCAAGAATACTTGTTATATTGCATATTACTGTTTTCAAATTCGTTGTTTCAATTATCAGACATAAGCATGTAAAATTGGTAAAAAAAAAAAAAAAATTTAAGCTTTACCATTCCTTTCAATAAGCCAACAGACATTAGCAGTGTAATTATCCCAGCTATCCTTGTATATACATATATTTTTTCCCTTCCTTCTCCTTTTCCTCATCCCAGTTGTTCTTTTCCTTTGAGCAATTTCTTTCCCCTCACAGTATCTATTGCACCTTTCAGATTTTATTTTCTTTTTCAGGTTCTTATACTAGGGAGAAAATATGATGTTTACACATACAGTCTGATTTCACTTATGAGAATGGTCTCTAGTTGCACCCATTTACCTATAAAAGCCTCGAGTTTATCTTTTTTTTTATTGCTGAGTAATACTCCATTGTATAAAAATACATCCTTTTTATCCATTTCTCAGTTGATGGGCATTTGGGTTGCTTCCAAGACTTAGCTATGACAAATTGCACTGCTATAAACATGGGTGCACATATACCGCTGTGATATGATGTTTTCAGTTTTTCTAGAAAAACCCCAGAAGGGGAATAGCTGGGTTAAGTGGAACCTCTAATTCTAGTTTTGTGAGGAATCTCCACATTGATTTCCACAACGTTTTCACCAGTCTACACTCACACCAGCAGTGCAGAAGGATTCCTTTCTCCCCAGAGGCCCTCCAGCATTTGTTATTGGTTGATTTCATGATGACAGCCACTCTTTTTGGGGTGAGATGGAATCTCAGGGTTGTTTTAATTTTCATTTCTCAAATAACCAGAGATGCTGAACGTTTTTTCATATATGCATTTGCCATTGGTATTTCTTCATCTGAGAAGTGTGTGTTCATCTCAGATGCCCATTTTTGGATTGGGTTTTTAAATTTGGGGGGGGCTGATTTTTTTAAATTCTTTATATGTTCTAGATAAAAGTCCTTTGTTTGAGGGACAGTTGGCTAAAATTTTTTCCCAATTCATGGGTTTTCTTTTTACCCTGTTGGTGATTTCTTCTAATGTGCAAAACTTTTCAATAAGACAAGATCAGTTGTTGATTCACTGAAGTAGTTACTGTGTAGTTTGGTTTTTGTTCATGAACTTTCTGCCTACCCTTGTCTTCAAGATTTCTACCTACTTTCTCTTCTAGTAGATTTAGTGTTTGTTTTAATATTTAGACTTTTAATTCATTCTGACTTTAGTTTAGTGCATGGTGACACACATGTTCTATACATTTTTTAAACCAATGTGCGACAAGTTAAATTCTATAAAATAGAGATGCATTATTATTCCACTGTAAACTATAGATATGCTAATTTCATTTTACTAAATGGACTTAAGTTTCATGCAGGCATATCATTTAGGTAATTTTTAATATGTCTTATTAAATATATAAGCTTCACCTGAATATTTTTCAGAAGTTCCTCCTGTTTCTTTAGAGATTCTTGGACTTTAGTTGTAAGACTCCCATAGATTCGATCCAGTTCAGTGATGGAAAGAGTTTCTTCATTAATCACACCATCTTGAGCCAAAGCTGTCAAAAACTTGCTTGTCATATCAAAATTCATTGACTTAAGGTCATTCTCAAGATTCTCTCTTTCCTTCTTTACTTCATCAAGATTTGTCAATAAGGATTTTAAGACATTTACAACCTAAATAATAAAAAAAGATACTTTAATTCACCAAGAAAGTTAATTTCAAAAGAAAGTGATATATGAAAGTTAATTCAAGGTCAGACAAGATGACTCCTCAGAGAGCCATGCATACAATTATAGAACAGGTTTACTTATAGATATTGGTACCTTCAGTTGACCGAATGTTATGACAGTAGCACTAATAATACTATCAACAGGTATAATTTACTAAATATTATCTGCTGAAGAGTCCACAAATATAATTTAACTTACTCCTTACAATATCCTACAGGGTATATTTATCACCTCTATTCTAAAGATGAAATATTGAGTCTAAGAAAAATTAAGTAATATAACTATGTAGCTAGTAAGGGACAGAGGGGAACTTTAATGTCTAAGTATGCCTAACTCCAAAACCAATCTCTTTACCACTCTACACTACCCTGCCACCTTTCAATGGCTTTGAAGTGGGTAAAGTTATCATTCTGGCAAGTAAAATGATACCTTATTTTGCACAGTAAGAGACAGAGATTTATAGACACAAACATGAAGACACAAATACATTTCAAGAGAGCATGTTAGATGGAGAAACTGGAAGGGGGAACAAACAAGGGCCACTGTAGACAATGTGTTATATGCTGAAAGGAGAAGATGGTTATTGCACAAATCTTCACATCATTAAGAGTCTTAAAGTCTTACCTCTTACAGTCAGGTAATCTCTGACTCACACTCACATGATTCACTAATATTCCTAGTGTTCAAGTGCCCTCTACTGCCACTTTCAAACTGCCCCTTTCACTCACATCTCTTCATAGCCTGCTAGAGCTCCAAGAGAAAACATCGACCCAAGCCCCCACTCTACTTGCCCCAGTGATGCTCACAGAAAGCAAGCTGGGGAAAGGAAGATGCAGACAAAGGAAGATGCAATAAAGCCTACCTGTATTTCTTCTCACCAGCAGTAATTCCAGCTCCAGTAGATCTCCCCACCAACCACTCTCTTTCTCAGAATTGCTGTCCCATCATTCCTTCTACAGTCTTACTTAACTCCTTGACAGTAATGTCCAGAGTAACATTACTTAATCAAGAACAGAGACTTAAGAAAAGACTAAGGTGGTTTCTTCCAAATTTATGTGAACTTCTTTTTGGGCCTCCCTTTATACACAGATCTCTGTAGTGTCCTAATCTTAATAAAATACAAAGGTAAGTACAATTCCCAGTGAGAGAGAGAAGAGGAGAAGAGGTACAAAAAGCATATATATGTAATAAACATATTACAGCAATTCTCAGAAAGAGGGTGGTTGGTGGGGAGATCTACTGGAGCTGGAATTACTGCTGGTGAGAAGAAATACAGGTAGGCTTTACTGTATCTTCCTTTGTCTGCATCTTCCTTTCCCCAGCTTGCTTTCTGTGAGCATCACTGGGGCAAGCAGAGTGGGGGCTTGGGTTGGAGTTTTCCCTTGTAGCCCTAGCAGGGTATGAAGAGATGCAAGTGAGAAAAGAAGAAAAACTAGAATATAAAAATACACAGGTCAGACACAGTGGTATACATCTGCAATCCCAGCACTCAGGAGGCTGAGACAGGAGGATGGCTGTGAGTTCAAAGCCAGACTAGCCCACATAGGGAGTTTAGGTCCAGCCTGAACTACACAGTGAGACCTTGTCTCAAAAAATCAAATAAATAAAAGTATACAAATACATAAAATATGTACTGGATATATGTATGGATGTAACTTTTTTGCAAAAAGAAAAGCAATAAGGAGAAACCAGATACTAACAAATATGGAAACCTCTGGTGACTATAATGAAACAAAGTAGAAGGAAAAGAAATGAGACTCCTCTGCATGGTCCCTTTGAATCATGAACGCTTTTTTAAGATACTCAAAACACAAAACTGAATCAAAATTTCAATATAGAAACAAATAAGCCTAAATATCAAAGTGAAACATAATTGTAAAGAAAAAAGTTTCAACTCTGACTATACTCCCTTAGACAGAATGGACTTAGTTACCAATTAACCCAAGATAGCTTACTTCCTGGAAAACTCAACTTTCGCACCTGCAAAATGAGAATAACACCTATTTTAGGACTGCTTGAAGACTGAGCTAATCTATGAAAATTCCTCAGCAATGCTAGGCCAGGACAAGTGTTCAATCATATTTGCCATTATTACATGTTAGATGAGTTTTACTCAACTTTTTATGGGTAAATTACGGGCTGAAGAGGCTTAGGCATCTAAAGCATTCAGACAGGGGAAGAAGTTCAAGGAGCAAATTAAGAATAAAAGTATCCTATATTTTACTAAATTATTGCTGTAATTATGTGACACACTTTTTATTAGGAAAGACACAATAGGATATATAAATTTAAAATGTTGTAACAGTATCATCTGTTGGCATATCTAAACTAATAACTCAACCATGCCTTTTACTCAAGACCTATGTGAAGGCTGTTTGGCTAAGGGAAAAATAAAAAATATCAAAAAAGAAGGAAGGAAGAGGAAAAAAGGAGGAAAGAAGGAAAGTAATGTATCTCTCCATAAGTTATATCCAATGAAATTTAGAAAGAAAAATATGTTAGCTAATTAAAATAAAGTTGAAGAGAAAAATATGCAGAGGAAACAGTCTAGCAAACAAAGCTAAGACTGAAATACTACTATCTTGAAAGAGACTAAACACCTCTTACATAGTTTAGAAACTAAGATTTTCTCACCAAATAATGGGCCAAAGTTGTGGTGGGAATATCCCAAAGTTACCTAATAAGTTGTATGAGGAGACAGAACAGTTCATACAGACACAACTTCCACAGAGATGCAGAAAGTGATCCACTATGGATTTGAAGAATCTTGAGTTCTAACCCTAGCTCTACTTAAGAAGAAAAGCTAACCTGACTTTTACAGTACACAGATTTCTAGCTAGAGTAGTTGGGGAAAACCAAACTGTTATACAGTAAGCCTTATACTATTTCAAAACACTACAATTCTGTATGAAAAACAATGCCACATCAAACAACTAATTTATGAATGAGATTTTGGATTGCCACAAAAAGACAGAGATTCCTTGTACTCCAAAATCCTCTCTATTTATAATGGACATATACAGTAGTTTAACTGTATTTCAGATTGCATGATACTGAACTAATCTTAACAGAGTGAATGATGTAGAAAATAAGCTGCTTCAACAATGAAGAACAGGCTAATAAAAAACTACTACCTATTTTTTTATCAATTCAAGTTAGAAGTTTAACATGTCGTCAAAGCTAGAAACCTGTAGTATTTTTATTTCTGTTTTATAAACAGCTCTAATTAGCTTTTAATTATAATTAACTGCATCATTTTATTAAGTTAAGCTGTCAGCAGTTATCAATATATATTTTTGAGTCATATTTGTTCTTTTCACAATGATACAACTATTAACATAAATACAGTCTGTTCCTTCACTTGAGGGACAAAAGTAGGGAGAATAAAACAAATACACAACAATGGAGTAAGTTGGTGAATAATGACGCAAGTGTGAAGGTAGCAGTCCTGAAAGAGGTAGTGGCCACTGAAAAAGAAAGCCCCCAAAGAAG